ATTGTTGAAAAAGCGATTGATTCAATGATTCAAACTAAGTCATTTACATATCGTGAAATTGTTCAAACGTTAAGTGCTATATTTGTGAAAAACCGCATTAACGTGTCAAAATACCATTATTCTTTCAGCCTTTTTAAAAATCGTCATGTTCTGGCGATCGCACAAATCTCATAACAACTAACCATTATGAAGCAACGCAAACTTGAACACACTGGGAACTATGGTCGATTCAGTCTGCATTGGCATTCAATAGATTCCGCTGTGTCAGACTTCTAGGGCTTCAGCACCCTACCATTAGGCCAACTGTGATCCAATATACTTGGACATGGATAATGACATCTGGTCCAGGGTTTAACGTTAAACAGCCCATGTAGCCAGCCCGTTATGGTCACTTCAAAAGGCACAGTGTTCACCATACTGAAAATGCATCAAACGAAATAGAGCACTGCTCGGGACTATCAATCCCTTTATCTATGCTTGAAGGTAACTCCAGAGAAAATAGGCTGAACTTGTTACTTGCCTCACTGGTCAAGTCTTCTCCCTGTCGGCCCAGTAGGTGGTCGGCATAGGTTCTGCCATGATTGAATTCCTTCTGTGTATGCCTCCTCGCCCAAACACCCTGCGACAAAAAATTAAGGTGTAATTTACTGGTAATAAGACTGTTTTATTCAAGCAGAAGATGATTATTTTATCAAATAAAACACCACACCGCCATCATGGTCTGCCGGAAACGATGATCTGCTGACTTGTGTATAGGACATGTTTTTGAAATTGGTTTTACTTTATTATACTCATTTCGTGGGAAGGTTTTAACGGTGTATGCCTTTATTTGCTTTCTATTTATCCTATGTTTTCATTTACCTTGGGCATTATTAAATGGCCTATGAAATTATAACCATTATACTATATCCATCATTCAAAGTCCTTGTTCTAAACAGTTGCTTCTTTGCAACATGTCATTTATTTCACTCTACCATTTTCGCTGATCATTGATTGAATTTGTCCACAACATTCAGTCATGTATTTTTTATCGTGGAACGTCTCTACTGCTCGTGAAAGCACTTAGTAGATTCCAAGGATGATCATTGCTTCTCAGCAACATAGTTTGAATTGTGAAGAACTAAAAATAGTGGAAGCGTGATCCTATAGTAAATTTCCCATTAGGTAGTCGGTTCTTTTTGTATGTAAGCGTGGAGAATTGGGTTTGTTACTGCTTATTATCTTTTTAACCATCGGTCCATGTGCTAACTCAGCGACATCTGGAAGGTGGATGATCAGACACACGATTTGGAGTTGTGTCGTATTTACCATGAAGTACAATAATCACGTGAATTGTCGTCCATTTTATAAAACCATCCAACCATACCAAAGTACATAATAGATACTATTAAATTACACAAAGAAGGATGTCATACATGTATCAAATAATTTAATGTAGAGAAGGTAGAATAACAACTTAGAAAGCCGCAGGATGCATTAATGTGGGAACGCTTATCACTTTGTGGCATGATCTGGAGTAAAATATTCTGTTTTATCTTGGCAAGTCGGAACAGCTGCCATTGTCTATGTTAGTGCATATTTACTAAATGTCACCACGTGTACAATGAACCTATGGATTTCATTATTAACATAATGTTCTGTTATTCTGACTGATAGGAATGTGAGTACGACTAAGGCCTTGCTTGGTGTATTAATTTTATTGATTTACAGAACGTTAAAAGTCGATAGTTACTTTAATAACTTTAATTTTACTATGTTTTGCTGCTGGACTGCGACAGAGAATATATTGTACACACAGGTCCCTGAAGCAATACAGGTCCTGCGTACATCCTTTTCAAAATTAAACTTCTGGTTAAATATCAAATGAAGGCGGCACAGTGAGCGGAATTATTTGGCCAGTTGGGACATATTTACAACAATATCTATCGGGATCCCCGATACACGGGCTTGGCAATTATTACTCATGTGAAGATAACGATCCCGGTCGTTACGTGAGAACACCTTCGTCAGATATAATCTTATGTATTGCATGTATCTACAGAAACAGATTCATCAGTCTAATATGTGTTAAGAACAATCATCTCTAAATCAATAGAGATTTCTGCAATTCTTCGGCAGTCATCTTGACTAAGATTGTTTACATAAATTACCTCTCTGATCCACAAACTGTCACAAGAAAAAAATCAAAACAATACAATTCTCATATGCTAGTCTATAAAACAACTTATAACACACCTGAGCACCATGAAAAAGCGGAATAACTTTGCCAGCTATATACAATCTGTAGCCATTCAGCTCGTCGGGCCAATCATGTACATTATTTATAACGACCCACAAAACACATTGATCCACAGCTAGATGCGTCCACACCAGCATGTATCAGTTTACACTCGTTAATACATACACGTATATCATTGGCTGACAACTGGTGGCAGTAAACAATGGACGCATCAAGCCGGACTTCATACAACACTATAGCCTTTATTAAACAAAGCTCGCGCAAGAATTAACGTCCTGTGTAATCTTCTAGAATGTTTGTGTGCGATACGTATCGCCCCTGCCATGTGATTGCTCTTCTGGTCACACTAAAGTGATCATCTATTCAGGCAGGTTGGGTCAAATATCAAATGTCTTTGGTAGAACTGAGAACGAGAACCGTTAACAACGTGGCTACAACGTGAATGTATTATACGGTAAGGAGTGGTTGTTAAGCTATACACTTGCTTAATACAAGCATATTCTCGAAGTCGTTATGTTACCAATATGGCCGGAGACATTCAACTCTATAGTATGACATGGACTCAAGCATCTACGTTCTGGGAAACATGCTTGTTTGTTGTGTACTAGTGTAGCAGTAAGTTAGTCTTGATACAGTTGTTGTGTTCAGTTAGATTGTTTCAACTAGGTCACACTGGTGGTCTATTTTTACCTTGTAATAACAACACTGGCAAAATATATCTTCATTTCCATCACTCAGCTTATGACGTGGTTGATGTTTCCCCTTTGTTGGTGAGGGACCACCCAGCTGTGCATGAACAGGCCACGTGTGATTGTGTATATCCGTTATATGATTGTATAAGATTATAGAATATATTCCTGATGTTACGTTCATTTCAATATATGTATCTTTATATGTATTTGAGAAATGTGTTCATTTATTTGTTACTGTTGCTGATATTTGACTACCTCAAGGGCATTATTTATGGGATTGTTGAACGGACAGAACAGTAAACACTCTCACCATAGCAACTGCGCATAAAACAGCTGCTTATGATTGAATCTTATCTATATCCTCATTTCACACTGCGTATCTTGCCGTTGTGCAACAAAGATATGGTTGTTGTGACGGGGAGTTTCACGTGCTGCCTCCTGTACTAACGAATACCGCAGAGCAATCATTCTAAAAAACCTGTACAGTTGTGTTATTATTATCATCATTATCAAGAGTCGAACCCACCGAGAACTTTTCGTAGGATGTGAAGACTCCCCAACACTGCAGCCTTCTGCATTACCCAGATTGTCAGAAGGGCTGTTTTCCTGGCAGCAAACCCGGGTTCTCTCCCAATGTCAGTCAACAGATTGGAAGGTACCAAACCTAAGGCACCGAGAACAAATGGGAGTCGGACAACTTTGTACTTAAGATGCAAGCGTGACATTTCGAAAGCGAGGTCCGCATATTTGCCATGTTTTTCCTGAATCTTGGCAATCGCATTAATGTCAAAAGGGACAGAAAATTCAATGAAATAAATTATTTCGTTGGATTTATCAAAACTGATAAGATCAGGTTTGTTGACCTGGATACGTCTGAGGCTGTATACGGGCCTATTCCAAAGAATTATATATTAATCCTTTGCTACATATTCTGGGTCGTACCATGAATGGACCTCTGAGTCAAAACCACAAGCATGGCGATGACGGTAATAGAAAGATCGAGCAACTCCACCATGCGGCTTAAGATACCGTTTTTGTGCCAAAGCTTGGCATCCAGTGACAATGTGTTGGACAGTCTCATCAAATTCATTGCATTATCTACATTTCATATTTACATTTTGATGCAGAATTACACATTGACGGTTTGATTTGGAAGTGACTGGTCCTGAGCCTTCTGTTTAACTTATCAGGCCAGCCGACTTCATCCAAGAGAAGGACTCTCTGCAGGGTTGCTTATCTATTCAACACACTACACATTAATAGATGCAGTGGTCGTTCAGGAAGCCTCTCCTTGCAAAACTTGAGTCTGGGCTGATTTGATATGGCACTCATTTCAGTAGTATAGAACAATCAACAAAATTAACATTACATTGAAATTATGTACCACACCCCAAGCACCTTTAAGAAAACTGTGGAATACCTTGTTTTCTTCATGAGTCTTGACATGACAAATAGATGTCTGCAAAAGTGCACAATACAATTCTATCATGAAGCGCTTCCATGTTAATCAAACCATTGGTAAATATAAGCGATTGAGGGAAAAGTGAGGGTGGTGGGATGTATTGTCTGACATGATGCTTCGTGTGAGGGTATCAGTACCCTGAATTTCTTGTTTCGTCCAATCAACAACACACAAAAGAATACGAGAGGATAGGAACAGCATAAGTATTTGTGGCTTTGACTTTATTATTATTATTGTTGTCGTTGTTGTTGTTGTTGTTGTTATGATTATCATTATTATTATGCAGACTGGGGGAGTGCTCTCACCACGGAGGCTGAATTGGTCCCGTTTTAGGGGCATATTAATCTCATGTGCCATATGTTAAAACATTTAAGATAAGAGGGTGAGCCTAATCATGAATCACCGGCATGTATTTCCTGCAGAGATTGCAGACCGTCCATGGGCATAACCCGTAATATAATATATACACTGAGATTCACACACCATGGATTGAGTTAGATTTAGGAGCCTCCAAACAGGGCTCTTAATTGAAATAGACATGGCGATACATCAATTGGTTTAGGATGCTGTATGGAAGATCAAGCTAATTTCCCTCCTTTGGTTTCAGGTTTAAGTAAGGCTGGAGGGATGCGACAGTCGTGGTTTAACTGAACGGCGGGATTACTGAGACGGACACAAAGAGACGAGACTTGACGAGGATATATCGTTAAGTATCGACAACAGTAGGAATGTACGCCACCACAGCTTCATTTGGAGTACTTGTTTTATACGTCCTTCACCTTGTGAATGGGGATCTACCCGACAGATTGCGGATCGGTGAGTATTATTGAGGGTGGATCATACTTCAGTCACTTTGATCATACTATAGTCACTTTGATCATACATAAGTCACTTTGATCATACTTTAGTCACTTTGATCATACTCAGTGGTCTAGTGGTGGGACGTCTGCCTGGAGAACTGAGGATCGAGGATGGCACTTGTTGTTTCCCTGTCTGGCGCTCGGCATTAAGGGACAAAACAAGGACTGGTACCTCAGTGGGCTAGCACTAAATCGGCTTTAGTCCTTGTATAAGCAGCCACACACACACACACACACACACACACACACACACACACACACACACACACACACACACACACACACACACACACACAAATATATCGACCGAACAGAACTTTATATGAAACATGTATGTTGTTCATTTCACCCTCTGCCAATTTTGGCGATAGATCAATTTTTCTTAAATTTTAATAGTTATGTTTATGAAGCCTCTCACTTTAACAGTTTCTAATGACACGACGAATGAGTCATTCGGTACAGAATTGTACTCACATGAAAACACCCACGGCAACATGTGTGCAGTGGCAGTATCAGAAACCAAGGCTTTGTCCTCTCCAGGGAATATGATAGCATAAATTGCGCTTCATGCCCGGGTAACTTCGTTTATCAGACGTTTATTGAAGTGGCGCTTATTATTCTAATGACTTCACCCGTGTCGAACTGTTATATATACACACATCAAAGTTTCTTTAAAATCCGTGTAGCACTTTGTTTTGTAGACTTATGGTCCAATTCCATGACATATATTGACATGATAGTTGACTGACGTTTCCGCTTCCTATGCTACGCTTTCGAATAATGTCATGTGACATTGTATCATTAGGGACCGACTATCAGATATTCTGGTGGGAGCCTGGTATTTTATAAAAACAAATGAATTGGCCCAGAAAATTATTGAAAGAAATACCATTGTTGCAAGCTGTTTTTTCTAAAACATATAGTCAGGCTCAGAAATTTAATTAAATGCATATCTGGTTTTGCAGCTGTACCTGACAAAATATCTAATCTCCAGACAAAATCCCAGCCCCCACCGAGAAAACTAAAAGGTCGGGTCTCATATGACGTCACCATTGTGAGGTTAGACATACAGAACGCTGTGACGTATGGCATATTCAACATTGGACATATCACTGTAACCACAGAATCAATCCAGTAAACACGCTCAACACGGTATTCGTTCTGTTATAGTGCAGGAATACGGCGGGTAGCGTTCACAATAAATATTCTAACGTGACGTACGTGTCGTAACAGCAGTGCGTAACACGATACTAGCACGTTATAGTTTGTAGGCAGTGCTTTGTCATTACAATCTGTGTCAAGGTCCTTGAACCATAGTGAGTGAGATTTCAGCAATATGCCAGCAATATCATGGCGGGGACACCGGAAATGGCCTTCACACATTGTATCCACGTTGGGAATCGAACCCGGGCCTTCGGCGTGACGAGCGTACGCTTTAACCACTAGGTGTTCGTTGTTACGTGCCACTAGGCCATCATACTATCATCCACTTGTGGAAAATGTTGGGACCAATGCATTTGCATCTAAATTCAACCGTTATCCTTCATTCTGTGTTTGGGAAGGTTATTCTAATTAGTACACATAACCAATTATTCTGAACGGATGTAACGACACACAAGATGTACACATGTACAAAAAAGGACATGCATATCGCACTAGATTTAGATATATGTATTTTATTATACCATTCAAGCCAATCATGGTACTAGACATGCCCGAGCCCTGGTCAAAGGATGTGTCTATAACAACGCTTGAGCAAGAGTTGTGTGACGCTCTTTGTGATCATCGTGGAGAGAGCATGCTCGATTGTACCTCATAAATTGTGAAATGTATACACAAAAGGCTGGAACTGCTTGAATATTGCTAAACATAACGGGAAGTTGTCTACTGGAACGTTGAAGTCATTCCTCTTCCTCACAGATTTGCGGATAGTTTGTGTTCACTTCAAATCTTTATGCACAGATCTTAATATGAAACAGATGAGGCGGTGTCACTGGTCTCTTTTATTTCAAGGTCAGCTGGGTAAAACTGGACGGGAATTGTCTGTTTGAATATTTTTCAACAATATCAGATCATCGATATACCTGATAGTTAAACGACTTGGCCAAATTTACTTGTTTGGATTTTTCACTCTGACATGCCAACAAAATGTTTTACCTCCACACCCAATCAACTGTCATTGTATAGCCTCGTAAAAGTGATATGTCATCGTAGACTTAACCAGGCTGGTCAAAACATGCATACAGAAATTCGTAGGCAAAACCACATGTTGTCTTCAGATATGACCTTGGCTCAGCATCCGCACATGAAACCATGGGCCTGCTCAAAAGGTGACATTGTAAGACTGAGGGGCAGGGGTGGCCCATGGCCAGTTGTCAGAGGCTCCGCAATTCGCAGTGAAGAATTGCGTCCCTTGGACACGCCAGAAACCTATGATTGTGGCTTCGAATGCCGGTTCGCCCCGACTACGTGTCTTGGTTTGTCAGCTCCATTCCCGTGCTCCTGGGTTTCACCGAAGTGGAAAATGTGTAATTACTATATTACTTTGAGTTTTATTCCAAATTTTAAGCTGACACGCCGTGATAGAACTGGAATACTGTTCAAGGAGGCGTTAAACCCAACTCACTTACTCACTCACTCGTAAGACTGACCGAAATCTACACCTTCAAACATTATCTAGTGGGTAATGGTTCCGTCATCATATATGACTTTTATACATCATATACGGCCTGGCCAAACATTATCCCTTTAGGCATAGGCAATTAAGTCGTGGAGGTGATCTGATATGGCGTGTTTAGTATTTTAAATTCCAGCTTATAGAACTTGATCTGTTTGTCTCCGGATGTTTGTTACATTATATTTGCAGTTTTGTTGCTATTATACGATCACCATCCATTCTCCTGTTGTTCGGTGTCAAATATTTGAATACTTCCTGCTAAACACATCATAATTGCAACAATTCTTTCACTTATAAATCTTGCGTTCACAATCAAATATTGACAGAATCCCATGTTTACTTTTGATCAACAAACCTTTATTACGCCGTCGCGGATTATTTCTGGCTTTCAGAGTCAAATACCCACAGATTTCTCCGTTTACCTTTAGAAAATGGTCTGGCAGGGAAAAGATCAGCGTGCCCAATTGTACATTTATTCACGGTCTTTGAGAAGTAAGTTCTTTAAATATTGAAGACTTACGAGGATTCACTCAGTGCCCCTCGCGACTGACAACGTTGGAACAATAAGACGCATGCAATGTTATCAGTAGACGCCGATTGAGCCAAGACGCCGCTGACGCTTTCCATTGCAATATCCGTCATGCGGTGATACAGACAGACAGTGTTTGCTCACCGTAACCATGCTTATATTAAGACTGACCTTAAACTCTTGATCAACCCCATCTTCAACTGCGTTATTTTAGGTTTAGGGCTAAGCCTCAGTCTATAGGCAGATTGAGTGGTTTTCCTGAATATGAAATAGACTGGAATCCCCCGAGAGTTAGACGTATATGATTGTCTAGTTTTCCCAGTCTAAGCCATATTCTCAACAGATCCAGCGTATGGCGTATCTGGCCGATGTCTACCGATAATTTCCCCGTTGTCTTTGTAATGCATATTCAAGATAAAGCTTCTCTTCTTATGGCTCCGTTGAGAGAGACGAGGTCCCAAGGTTGATATGTGTTTTGTGACTTTAGGCAGATGCACTGGTGTTAGGTCGAAATTACTGGAGATATTGGTTGACATGAGTTAGCATATATGAATGTTTTGTCAAACAGGTTCTACATGTAGTTAGCCTTGCTTGGTTCATCACATGCGACATCTCCACAACATGATTTGAGACTCACATGGCCATGTATAGACTTGCATAAATCTATTAGGTAAACATTATTAGTTAAAATCATAATAAGATCATTTTTAGATTATATAAACAATAGGAACAAGTTGTCCACTGTCAGCTTATATAGACTTGCCTATTATAAGGATAGAATTACTTTACACTCATGAAGTTATCATTCAATACAGCTTTGGAGCAAGGCTATACCATACTCTATAATTATAATAGCCGAATTGGATTCACGTGGTCAGTTTTCATTATCATCTTGTGCTATATGTACAAATACGATTCCACCATCTGCCATAAATAGGTTGCCACTTGAAAGAAAAAACACCATTTAAACGCATCACGGTTTTTTTAATAGTAATGTGTATTTAATAATAAGACACTAAATCATGGTTAAACAATCACGATACAGCAATATTACACCGTCGTTCAAATAATGCTGCAACAAACGTTTCATGATGCAATACATATTAATCAACGGATGCAAAACGAGAGAATCCTATATCGCTTTGTGAGTAACTATGTCAGTGATTATTGCAACATGAGCCATGTGATACCATTCAACATACATTCTTAAATGTATCCCAGGCGTAGCTAGCCCTCCCCATGTGGTCTCTAACCTATGAAATCATATCATATACACATCACTGTTGTTTTCCCAGTGTAGAAACATTTGACTGCAAGATGTTTCTCAGAATCTGTAGATGATACTTTGAAGCTGGTGATGTGACTACGGGATCTCCTGCACATTTTAGCGATATGGTATATATCCATGTCCACTTGACCACACTCCACCAGATGAAGTGTAATATGCAGAGAGACTGTAAGTTCTATTTGAGGCTTGATTTAACATTTTTGAAGACTTTCCAAGATTTTTGCATATGGCTTCCTCTCGAGTTTGGTAGGGAAGAATGTTTGATGAGCGTAGAGTATGTTGTGATTCATCTGGTGTGGGTGTCGTTGAGTCCGAGCTTTTCGCTATCAGCAGCACCCAGGAGAACATTGTGTTAGGATTGCTTCAGTCATGTCTTTGTTTAACCCCAAAACACAACCATCATACTGGATAGGGGATAACGTATAAACGAATGTTTAGGTAGATTGGAAGAGTACAGTGTCC